CCTTTGGGAACAGAAGGGCAATCCCAAACCTGAGACCAGCATCAAGGTGAGTTAGTATCTGTGTGAGTATGAAAGCACTTCCTCTGCTGTGAAAAAGGAAAGAGCTCTTAGCTGGGTTTGGAAGTACTGAGAAGATGAAAAGGGCTCTTGAATAGCATGTTGTTCTCAGGCTGTGAGTTGGGAGCCCCAGACTTCAAGGCAAAAATTGTACTGCAGATGTGAGTTACTTTGCTCTTGTGCTTTTTTAGTGTGGAGAGTAAAACATGCAAAGTTAAGTGGAACTGAACCTAAGACAGTATCAATGTTTGGGATCTTGTGCCTACTGGTACATTTGTGGGAATCCTATTAAAATGCAGCAAGCAGCTGCTACTCAAACTGCCTAGGCTGGGAGAGGGAGACTGAAAGACCTTGTTTGTTCCTGGATCAGTACTGCTGGCAGTATGTGGTAAATGAAACTGGCTCTTGCCATGGGTGCAACCCACCCTGGCTTGGGGGCTTGGGGCTCTGGGTGGAGCCCTCCCTTATTATGCCTGGCATTGCATCTTCCCTTTTCTACCACACATCTCACCCTTGCTGTGTTACCTTACACTTACAGAAACTGGTGGTCAGTCTGTGCAAAGAGTTGAGGTGGAAAGGACAGGAAGGGAGTACAGAGTAGGCTGTCTCCAAGCCCCCTGGGGTAATAGATAACTGTATCAGATGCTTCTCTGTCTTCAGTTGTTTGATCTTGACTGCCTATTTAAGGGAGAAAACATGCTGATTCAGGCTGTTTCTTTCTCTTCCCTCTCAGTCCACTCCTGGCAAAAAGTATAAATTTGTTGCAACAGGCCATGGCCAGTACAAGAAGGTGTTGCTAGAGGATGCTGCAGAGCAATAGCAGGTCTGGAGAACTCATTAATCAGGTAGGTGGGTATGGTCTTGCACTGTGTAATAAAATCATGCTGTTCTGGTGAGACATTGGGGCTGTTTCTGCCAGCTACACTTTGGGTGAGTTGGAAGGTACTGGAGGTAACAGCTGGAGCCTTGCTGCTGGGCAAACACCTGACTTTCTGAGCTGGGAGGGAGTGGATGTGCGGTGGAGATTTGTTTGGGTCTTTGACTTTCAGATGCTGCTAGGAAACTGGACACCTGTGTTAGTTTAATCTGCAGAATAAGTCCCTTAGCTACTGCCATTTGGGTGAAGATGTGTTTGCCTTTGCTAGTTCAAAGGAACAATCTATTTGCTGTTTTTTCTTATGCTCTCTTACGTTGCAAGGAGAAGTAGATAGCTGGAGGTCATTCTGGCTGAGCATGGGGACTCATGTACTGCTGAAATTCACACACTTCTTAGGTCTAATTCCCCAAGTTACTGATTTAATCAGGGGAAAAAACTTTAAATTATTTCAGTAACCTCTTGGAACCAGTCCCTAATAGGCCTGTAGTAGGGAAGACATGAACATCTGCTGTGCTGGGTGGACCAACAGAGCAGAAGGGACTGTCCTCTAATGTGTAGTCAGTGGGAAGGCTGAGCTGGGTTGCTGTTTCTGTCCTCTTGAAACTGTCTTTGGATCTTGTGCTTGTATTGTGTTTATGTAATAGATATCCTGGTGTTATCATGAGTGGTTGATAGTACAGGGTAGCAGCAATAAGGAGGAATGGCATAGAGGGAGGTGATAACTGGCTGGATCCAACCAGGCAGCATCTGGCACTGTGAGAAGAGAGGAAGTTGTTGGGGTGAAAATAAGATCATTCCTTTTTTTTTTCCTGCTATAAAAAAAAGCTTTATTTCATAGCCAAGTTTATAAATAGCTCTGTCTGCTACAATACACCTTTTGTTTTTGAATTCTTCTAGGGACTGTGTTTCTTCTTTTTTTTTGTTGTTTCTTGTTTGTTTTTCCCCTCAAGGACCTGGCTTTTGAGTGCAGCATATTGTTCTGTGGGTTTGGGGTTTTTTCCCTTTCTTGGTGCTCATTTATAAGAGAAGCTCTCTTGAGTGCCACTTGGAGATGGGTAGCAGTAGAAACCCAAGCCTGCCCAAAGCTATGTTTTTAGATGTAAACAAGGAGGAACCGACTGTTCTTCTATCCTCAATTTTCATCTCTGCCTGTGATTTCCAGAAACCTATTTTAAGGTCTCCTCTTTAATCAGTCCTCTTCTTTCTCCTAAAAGTTGTTTTGATGCACCAGTTGGGATCTTAGTGAGCGTCAGTTTTTTATAGCAAACAGGTTTTCCTAGGTTATCCACAGTTTTTTTTGCCCTACCTGGGAGTCTGCAAACAGCTTGAAGCAAAGTGCCTTCATCTCTGATCTTTTTTCCAGCATCCTTTTGTGAAAGGCCAGTAACTGTCACAGAATGTCCTCTAGGATCCACCTACTGCTCCAAAGAACCACTGCACAGCGCTATTTCCCTATGGGCTCATTCACAAGGAAGGTTTCTTTTGACTGAATAGCAAAATGACTGGTACCTTGGAGGATCTTGGCTGTTCTGTATGCTGACAGGTGCCTGCTTTCCAGCTCCTCTCCATCCCCCTGAACTATGTTCAACCTTTTCCCTACTTCAGGATGCTTTCGTGGTTGCTTTTTTGCTCCCAAACCCTTCTGGCTCAGCCCTGTGTCACTTGCTCAACACCACCTTATCAGCTTTCTCATTGCTTGAGCACAGGTAATTTTTCTTCATCCTCACCCTTCCTGAGCTGCAGGACCTCTGAGCAGGCCGTGGGGCAAGAGGTTTTCTGTAAGTGGCAATTTAGGCTCTTACCAACTGCTGAAGGCTGTTGGACATTGGAAAATAACTGAGCTCTGTCTTCAGCAGCATTCCCCTTCCCTCACTCAGCATGGTGGTTCAAACTGGGACATGCTGCAATGGCTCCCAACTGCTGGTAGAAATCTTCTCTTGCCTCCAAGCATCTCTTCTCTCCTCTGCAATGCTCTTGTCCAGGTCTGTCTCTGAAGGACTCACCATGTTTGATGTATACCTCTACCCTTCAGTCTCGGGGCAGAAAGGCTAAACCATGCAACCAGACTTGCCTTCCTCTGCTTCCCACTGTGGGCTTCACTCTCCCCATGGCAATTCTTCATCCTCTGTCCCCGTGCTGGGGGGCTGGGCTGTGGAAGACCAGCAGATGCAGCATAAGCCTTTCCTCATCACCGTGTGTGAGTTGCTGGTTTGTTCTGGGTGGTTGTCCTTGCTGCAGGACAAAGTGGATTAAAGTACAATTGCTTCTGAAATCATCTTCCCTGGTCAGATTAATTTAGTCTCCCAGGTTCAATCAGTATTGGCTCTTCTGCTTCACCCTAATGCTGTGAATCTTGTGAGTGCTGTGAGTCTTGAAGACTCTTATGCATGGGCATCCAACTATCTGCATTACAGTAAAGTCCCACTTCATCACGACGTGGTAAGGTCATCTTTATCTGCATTAGACATTCTACGTGTTTTCAGCTGCACTTCTGGTTTTGTATGGCTGCATGGATCTTCATAGCCTTCTCCTGGAGTATGTTGAATTTTCCTGCAAAGGCTCACCTGGGATCCACTAATTTCCAACATACCTCTTCTCAGCTCTTTCCTGGAAAACTGTAAGATCAGAGAAATCCAAGCTTTAGATACTTAGATTATTCTTTTTTTTTCTTTTTTCTGTTCCCTTGAAATAGAGAAGGGGTTACAAGAGAGAGGGTAAGACCAGCAAAATGAAAACTTCAGTGATGGTTCGATTATAACTGAGCTCTTCTGATTGCATCATTACAAAATTGGAACATTTCAAAAGGCAAATGGGGCTTTTGGGTTTGTTTCCAAGTCTGTTTGCAGCTTGGCTTGAGGAAATCTTGGTCGGCTCCATATCCTTTGCACACAAAGAGACTGTAAAGAGTTGTGCATCAAGTTTCCTATTTGGACTAAACATAGCAATCCTGTATTAGCTGTGTAGGAATATCCCAGCATATGATCAAGTCCCTTGAGCAGCAGAAATAGCTGATCTCCAGCTTTCATGCTTGTAAGCTTGGTGGTGATGGAGATGCAAAGGGTGACTAATGCTGGAAAGCACAGTTGTCTCTCTGGATGGACAGAGTTGTGGACTTGATTTTAAGTACTCTTTTTTTTTTTTTTCAGGACATCAGGCACCAGTAGGTGTGCAACCATTATGATGCCTCTGAAAGTGGGACTACATGTGGCTAGCAGGAGCAAACAGCTTCTTGTTAGATACACAGTTGGATGCCCACATGCTGGAGAAGGCTTTTACTGGTTATCATGAAAGCACTACCCCCCAACTGTACTTAAAATGCACTGTAAAATAGAATTTGATAACTGCAACAAAGTTAGTATTCTGTAGGCTATGATTTAATAAACTGACCTAGGAGGACATCAGATGGTGATGTCCAGTGTTTTAGGCAGGGAAACTGCCATGTGCAAGCAGCCTGGATATCTTCTGCTGTCCCTTGTCAGTGCCTTGAGTGATAGGATGAATCTTGTTCCCAGTAAGGGGTGTGAGGTGCCCTCCACAGTACTTTCAGTGGAGAAGCTAAAGAGATGATGTGTACTCTCTTTGAGTTCAGGTTCTAAGAATTTCTAGAGATGTGGAGCAACCCACTTTCATTCATGTGGTCTCATGTACAATGGCTTTGTTTATTTCTAGGATTTCTCTTGGTCTTAAACACAAAATAAATTCAGATTCTATCATCTTCCTGTAAACTGGGTTTTTTCTACAGGCAATCTGTCCTCTTCACTCTGTGCCTCCCTTCTCTTCCCCATGTTGCTCCACACAGTGTTTGTCATTGGCTTTTTTTAGAACAAGTGCATGTTTGTTTTCCTGGCTCAGGATCTGTGGATGTGGTGTGTTATGTGTTTAAGCTTATAGACATATGGAGAGTAATCCTTAAACCTACAGCATGAGGCTGCTGCCTTGGAGGGGTTTTATTTAACTTTGTTTCCTTACACTTGGCTCTGTTGGGCAGTAGACCTCTGCATAGGTTCTCTTGCTTGGGACCCTGTAGAAAACTCCAGAGATGTGGGCCTGGTGAAGCAGCCTGGCTTCAGTTGACTGACCATCCTGATGCTGTTCTGTTAAAGCTTTTGGTATGTTCCTCAGCCACTTTTGGTTTAAACCTTCCCACCTCAAACACGGTGGTGATCTTTGTCATGGGTTTGGCAGCCAGCTCCTTCAGTTTCCGGGCATCAAAGCGTGGCTTGTGCAGAAGGATGGGTAAGCGGCGGGGAAGAAAGCAGCTTTCCTGCTTATGCAGCTTCTTCTCTTCTGCTTGCTGCTTCTCCCTTTTGTTGATTGTCACCTGATATAAGATAGCATCCCACATTCTTGTGGCCCTTGATTTAAACAGCATGCAGTCTTGACTGATGATGGCTTGAGAGCCATTGTTTTCCTTGCTCCCTTCCTCCTGTCCCAGCTCTCTCGGTTTGGGCTCTGGGGAGCTGGGTGCTTCTGGCTGCACAAGCAGATGCTTTCTGAGGCGTCGCCAGCCACCAGTGTTTGCTCCAGGAGGTCTTGCTGCTTCCACTGATGGTGGTAGTTCTGGCTCAGCTTTGTGGGGAGGGTTGGTGTTTGGTAAACTGGGGGTTGTATGTGGTTGAATGACATGTTCTGCCTCAGTGTCTGTAGAGGTGGCCCACACACTGTCAGCTTGTGCTGGCATTGCTGTGTCTGGGTGGGCTTGCCTCCAAGGAGTGTTGGGTGTTGATGTTTTTAGGATGTTGCCATCTTGCTCAGGTAATTCAGAAGCTGTCTCTGATACAGATATTTCTGTGTCATTTCCATGGGTGATAGGCTTATTGCTGTGGGTGTCAGGGTTGCTGGGCTTGGGTGAAGGGGCTCTGATGGACTCTTCATCAGGAGCAGACTTGCATTCCTTAGGAGGCTCTGCCTCTGCAGCAGAAAGGAGAGGAAGGTCCAGTGTGGGAGCTGTGGCCTTACTGTTGTTTAGTAGGGTGAGTTTCTGCCCTGGACATGGCTCAGAGTAGCTTATTTCAGCTAATGGAGAGGAAGGCCTTTTGTCCTCATGGCTGGTGGTTACTTGGATCTGATCTGATATGGGTGTTTTAGCCCTGGGTGGCTTGACACTGTGGAAGTAAGTGTGCACCTTGGTGACATGGGTAACCTCGGGTGCCATTTCTTTACTGGGCATACTGGTAGAAGGAGGCTGAGGGACAACAAATATAGAAGGGTCACCTGGAGAGGAAAGGTCAGTGTCCATACCTTCAGGCTGCTGTGGAGTCTTGGGACCACTGGGCTTGTGTAGCATAGGCATGGCTGGGGGGGTGGTGAGCCTGAGGTGCTCAGCAATGCGCCTCTGCTCCGTGACCTTCAGCATGAAGGGTTTGCTCTTCCTGAAAGGGGAGGGGACACGGTGGGTGACAGGCTTGGCAGAGGGGGTGACATGGGTAACCTCGGGTGCCATTTCTTTACTGGGCATACTGGTAGAAGGAGGCTGAGGGACAACAAATATAGAAGGGTCACCTGGAGAGGAAAGGTCAGTGTCCATACCTTCAGGCTGCTGTGGAGTCTTGGGACCACTGGGCTTGTGTAGCATAGGCATGGCTGGGGGGGTGGTGAGCCTGAGGTGCTCAGCAATGCGCCTCTGCTCCGTGACCTTCAGCATGAAGGGTTTGCTCTTCCTGAAAGGGGAGGGGACACGGTGGGTGACAGGCTTGACAGAGGGGTGGGTCGGGAGGCTGGTGGAAGGGGCTGCTGTGGTGTCGGGGGTCTCTGCTGGGGGAGCGCCTTCATCGTGCTCTAGGTCAGAGTTGGCCTCGTTCACAGGTGAGAGGCTGGACCGAAAGGACTTGGCTTGCTCTGAAGCTAGGACAGCATTTTTCTTGGCTGCCTTCTTCAGCAGCCGCTGGAGCCGCAGGTTGTCCTTCCCAGGCTTTGGTAGGGTGGGAGGGGGAGAAAGGTGGTGGCGGGTAGGAGCAGGCTGGATGGAGGATGTTACTGTTACCAGCATTGTCATCTCCTGAAAGAAAACACAAAGCTTAGAGTTGGTGTGGGTTTAGCCCTGTGCTAGATGCTGAAGCGTTCATACATAAGGCCTCCTCTTCCTCTCTCTGAAAGCTGAGTATAGAGCCAGTATTGTGGGAGAAGAGCATCAGTCTTAGTCTCTCAAGGTAGCCTTAGCCAGTCTTGAAGGTGATGTGGCAGGCAAGAGATGTACTGGGAGGAAGCTGTGTTGTCAAACCTGGAGCCTCTCCTGCTCCTGGCATTAGTGCAAAATCCAGTGAGAGCTCCTTGGGACACCAGATGTTCATGTCTTGGCAAGTCCTAACAGGATTTAGAAGAAAATGTCAAGAGAGACAGAGCAGGTCTGATATTCTGAAGGTTTGAAACATTCTCCAGAGGCCCCATCAGGAACGTGTTATAGCATTTCAAATTCCAGTCATTAATACTCTAATACAATATGCTACGTACGACAGAACAGCCATAATCTACATGTATCGGTTGAGTCAAAGTCAACACTGGCCTTGATCGATTTCAGCTGGCAGAAAAACATCCTTGTGAAACACAGGACTTAAAAGCTACATTTATCTGGTGAGAAAGTGCTTTGTCACAATACTGACTCTGACTGGTGGCTCTTTGCTGCATGAGGCACAGTGGAAACCTTCTCTTTCTGCACTCAGCTGAAGATAAAACCTGGTTTTCTCTTGGAGAGCATTGCCACTGTCCTCCCTGTATCACTCATCCTTCAGTGAAACAGAAATGAGTTGTGGTATGAGTTGGGTCTTATCTCCAATGGCAATTGCAGCTGGACCCCTTTTGGCCAAGTGTTGCTCCTGGGAGGATGTACAGCTGCTTTTACTGCTCTGTGTTGCTAAAGCACCATCATCTCTTCTTTCTGATGAGCACCAGCCAGATTTCCTTCAGTTGAGTGAAGGTCTGTGTTGGGTGTAGAAAGATAAAACTAGTCTCCGTTCATCTCTTACTCAGGAAGAGAAAGTTTGAGGAACACCAAGCACCCAGCCTCTGACCTGCCATGACACTTGGACAGCCCCCTAAAAGAAATCTGACTCTGCCCTGGCTGCCATTCAGCACAGAGCTGTGGAGCTTTGCTATTAAATGAGACTGAAATCACTGAGCCCCTTTATCCTTGATGCTGGATGCAACTGAGCATCCTGAAGGAAGGAAGAGGAGGTGGGGTGATGTCAGGGCTTGCCCAGAGGGGCTATTGCATGTGCTTTTCTGTTTCTTGTGGCTCCCAACTCACTCTGGTTAATGTGCCTGTGTAAGACAATACCTGCTGTGCCAGAAAATTATTTTGAATAAAACTCTCACAATTGCAGAACAGTTACTTGCACTTGAGTTCCTAGTGTTGCCTTTGGGCTTGCAGCTCTTAGTACCGGGTTGGGAAGCTGGTCTGTACCAAGCAGGCAGGTGGGGTAGCTGCCAAAGCTGGTTGTGGACTAGGGAGAGAAGGGTGACTGTTCCACAAACACAAAAATGCAGCAGCAAACGGAAGCACTGAAGAGTTGGCATGTGGGGAACAAAGCCTTCAAGGTCCAGCCCTCACCATGGTCATGGACAAGCTGTCTTCCAGAGCAGAGGCTGTGCTGGGCAAAGTCTGGGCAGTGTCTAGCAAATGCTACACTGCTATCAACTGATGCATTTATTTTGGCTGCAGGTAATGGAAACCTCCCCCTGTTTTGGTGAGAGGATTTGTGCCAGCTGGGAGTGACAACTGTTGGTCATTCCCAGTGGTTTATTAGCTTCAGGCAAAAGTTTGGGATTAGGACGTGCTCTATTCCAAGAGCTACTCCTAAAAACAAGTCCACACTGGCCCAAAAAAAAAAGGCTGAGAGACCATTCATTCATCATATACTTGCACTCTGGGTATCTCTGCATATTCTAGGTTCTCCTGGTTCAGAAAGATAAAATGCCTCTGTTGGAGAGGTGCATACTTGCTGTTGTGCAACTCTACTCTGGTTCTGTTTGTATAGGAACTGATAATTGCTTGGGTGATTTTTATCTGCTGCAAGGTGAGCTAGTACATGCATCTGATGTTAGGATTGTGGAATGATTTAATCTGCTCCTGTTTAATGTGGTCCCACAGACAGCCTGTACTACAAGATGAGCTGTGGTCTAGCAGCACTGATAAGACAGAATTATAAGCTGGACCTGCTTCAGGTTTGTTGTATTGAGAATACTAAAGAGGCAGGGCAGTGAACTTCCTAGCTACTGATCAGCCCTTTGAGTGTTTTCCTTGTCCTGTGGATGGCTGCAAAATGCAGCTTCACACATGGGCCAGAGCAGGATCTTCCCTGGGATTTGTTGTGAACTGTCAGATGTTATTGAGAACGGCATGGGGGTTGATGGACTGGGAAGGTTGGATATGATCTCCATGCACCAAGAAAACTTGCCCTCTGTTCCCAAAGTTAAAGGCTGTTCTGTACCACATAACCTCAAGATTTGTGGTCTTTTGAAATAGTCTGTGCTCTTAAAAATCACTCTCGCTGCTATCGCAGCATCCCATCTGATGTGAAACCTGCTGTGCTGTGGGTCTTGGAAACCTTGTGGGTGGTAGCTTCACACCATGTGACTGTGCCAGAGTCTGTGTTTGACTGGTGAAGCAGCAAGATGCTAAGAGACTGTGAAAGGAAATCAGCTTTTAATTTATTTGCCTTCCCTGTCATGCTTGGCTCAGTTTGAGTCTCCTTCAAAGCTTTGTGTGTTCAGGAGAAATTCTGCAACAAGCAAGACTTGTGAGTGTCTTGCTCCTTGATGTGTTATGAAGCAAAGGACAAATGGACCTGTGTTGTTGCCAGTAGAAAGGCTAGAGCTGAAAACCCAGAAACAATTGGGAAAACACTGCCTGAGAAACTTGGGTGGGCTTGCCATAAGCTGGAAGGAAATTGAGCTAAAAGCTGAATAAAGAGGCTTTCAAAGGGTTAAGTTTCCCTGCTTCTGGTTGAGTGCCTGTGGGTCACCCCCTCTTGGACCTCAACTGTTCTCCTGGATTCTGCTCCATCTGCAATCAACCTCAAACTGGGAATGGTGGGGAGAGTGTAATTTATCACACCATGGAGAAGCTGTTTGTGTGCTGGAGTTCCTTGGCTGCACCAGCTGTCACAGAGCAGATCGAGAGCTGCAGGAACCTGATACCGCTACAGATGGTCCCAGGCAGAGAGCTGTGGCTGCTGGAGGCTGGAGAAATACACTCTCTGCTTTAGTGGCTTTCTTGGGCTTGAAAGAAACCTGCTGATCTCCTCCTCGTGAGGAGATGGCTGGGCAGGAGCATGTCTTTCCCTTTGCCTTGGCAGTGGTGACGTCTGCCAGGCGTGCAGACCCCAGCACCTCTGTCATGAGCGTGTAACACACTTGGCTGTCCTGTCGCTCTCAAGCTTTATGGGCTGATTCACAGGGGTTTTGGAAGTGGGTGGGAGAAGACCACCTGTTATTGGTCGATTAGATGATGCCCCTGTACAAGCCTGGGTATTGCTCACGATAGGCTAAACAATATGCATAAACTTGTTTTTTTGTCTTGCAGCTGAGGATGGTCCTGGCTCAGTGCAGCGCTCAATGCTACTACTTCCTCTGCTTCACAGAAGATAATTGAAGGATGTTTCTCTTCTCCTCCTGCCTGATGTCAGTCTGCTTCAGGACAACCTGACCCCCTCAGGGTGTGAGCCATACCCCATGCTGCCTCCAGCTGGATGAAAGGAAATAGATCAGCTGGCAAAACCCGTTCCAGTTTTAACCTTCTACATGACTTCTTGGCTTTTTTTAATTTTTTATCTGGCTCTTCTATGGAGATGGGAGCCTGTGGCTCTGCTCCCTCTCTTCTTTCTCAAGTGTTGGAAGAGAGGGATCTACTGCCCTGCTGAGCTGTCAGGGCTTTTGCTACATGATGAATTTCTACTTTTGTGGCTCTTAGTAGCTGGGTGGTGGCAGAGAGAGAGCTCAACAGAAACCTGGTGAAAGGATCAGTGTTTGAAAGGAGGGCAATAAGCAGATCCTGAGCATGAGGGGTCTGCAAAGACTTGTTACCTTGTTGATACCAGCAAGTCTTCCCCTGTTTACAATGCAGCCTCTGTCCCTCTACAACATCTGCTTTGAGGGACTTCCATCTACTGTGTACACCAAATCACATTCAACCGTGTTTTTCTTTAGTTCCCAGATCATCCTTTGATCACAGTTACACACTCATGCCAAAATATTCCTGCCACTTTTCTGTCCTGACAGTGGCAATAACAGCTTTGTCTCAGCTGTTTCCTTCCTCTCCGTGTTTAACATGGGTGGGAGGTCTCCTTTCCCAGGTAAGGAGTGCTGATCACTGGCATTATCTCCCTTCTTTGGGAAAGGGATTTGCTTGTTCTCTCACTTGTGGCCCTAAGTGCCAATGACTGAAACGCTTCTGAATGTCAGAGGTGGTGGGCATGCTGATAACCTGCCTGCTGGGCTCCTGGAGGTGGACAGGATATCTGGGAAATGGCTGCTTCTCTTATGCTGGAAGCTGTCTTGGTAAAAATGCATTGTGATGAGTTTTTGGGGAGATTAGGGATTGCTGTGAACATGGGGAAACTGAGCTCTTAAAGCATGGCACTCTGATCTTGGACCTGAGATCTGTAAACTGGCTCCCAGGGCTGTTTCTGAGCTCTCCCACATCTTCATACTTCATGGTGTTAACATGGGGTGTCCCCCATCCTTTCTTTAAAGTCTCATTCCTGTGCTCTTTTCATGTCAACATAATTTTGCAATTTGTTTTTGCCCTCTTGGAGTGAGAGCAACTTCTCTGTTTTCCTGCCTCAGTTTGCTTTCTGCTTAAATTTACTGTGTTCTGGATTTTTTTTGGTAAGCATTTAATAAAATTTGAGGAAGATGTAACAATGGTAGCTCTAAGGATTTGGTTGATATGAGTCCCTGCAGCAAAGCTAATTTCCAAGACCTTGCAGCTCTCTGCTTGAGTGGAAGGTGGAGGAGAAGAAACATGAGGCTGAGTCATAGGAAAAGTAGTTTGATACATGCAGGAAAGGGGCTTTTCATGTGCCTGTCCCATTTAGCACCACTCTGTCATCTTGCTACATTCATCATTGTTATTGGGGGTAATTGACTCTAAAATGAGAATGACTGGTGTTTGGATGAGATGGAGCATCATGCAGAAGACTTCCTATGGAGTGATCAGCTAGGAGAAGCAGAGGGCTTAGCTCCATAGCTAAATAGACCCAAGCAGCATCACAGCCTTTGATCAAAATCATTATTGGTCAGCTATATGTATAAAAAAACCCTCTATAACCTGCTTGAACAGCTGAGATGAGGTCAATGTAGCTGCTTGTATAGGAAACCAGCACTCTAATGAGCTGACTACCCCATCTGGAACCTTCAATGAAAAACTAATGAAGAAAACGAAAAGATCATCTGTAGGTCATCTTCTGAGCACTTCTATAAAGCAGAGACAGCAAATAGTTTGTCCTATTCTTACCTATGCTTTCCTAAAGTGTTAGGAAGAGGAAGGTTTGCAGATACCACTTGCTGCCGTCTTTCTCCTCATTGATACCCTTGGGCTCTCCACCCTCTGCTTCAGCTCCTCCTGCAGGAAGGAATTCAAGGCGTCTGTGTTCCTCAGAGAGCACTGGAGAGCATGGACATCTCTGACTCTACCTTCCTTGCTTCAGCCCTTAGTCTGCCAGGTTGAGATTTTCAGGAGAGGCCAGAGCAGTAGCAATGGGGTGTATAGAGATGTCCTGGTGTGCCTCTGGTACTGTTCCTCTGCTATATCAGCTTGTAAAGTGCAGAAAAGGACCCAAAGGCAGCTTGTGTGAGATTATTTCTCTAAGGAGGGTTAATTTGCAGAGCATATTTTCTCCACTTAAAGCCCGTGTGGACCTAGATATGGTTTTGATGGAAACAAGTGCCAAGTTCTGGCTGCAGCTTGAAAGCGAGCAGGTTACGTGGAAGCTCTCCAAGGAGACGAGAGCACTCTAGTGGTGGTGAGGAACCAGGAAAGACTTGGTGGAGCAGTTGTGTGTAGCTCTTTATGAGCTACAGGGGAAACTTTCTGCCTGGGGAAATTTTTCCACAACTAACTTTACAATGTTCTGCTTCTCCTTCCAAAATAACATGGTGTGCATGTGGTGGATGGAAAAAAAAACAACAAACCACAACAAAAAAAGAGAGATGCTGCAGCCTGGATTCTCTGAATGTGTAGCTTGGACAATGCCCAGAGGGTACAAAGGCTCATTTCTCCCTTCAGCAGCAAGCATGGGGCATTGTGGCTGGTTTAGTCACTTACTTCAGAAGAAAATACGGTAGCTGTGAAATGCTTCTGGTCATCTCTCTCTAAAATGAAAAGCTCCTGCAGACAAATTTGCTGTGGAGAAGCCACTGTGCATGGTGGTTATGCTGCAGCCTTTGCAAAGCCAGCCTCCTTCCAGCTTTACTGAGTGTCTGCTTGTCCTAGGGACCTCTGCTCTCCTAGGGATGTGAAGGGGGCTCCTGGGCACTCATTGTGCTCATCTGAGTAAAAGAGCAGGTTGTGCCTCTCTATAGCCGTTACTGGTCTGGTCTTATTCAGTAGCTAACTGC